GCAGCAGCAGCAGCAGCAGCAGCATTTTCTTTTCTTCTTAGATTTTGTGTTCTATTATAGTTTTTTATTTGTGCTTACCACAGAGTTCATATATGTTGACCCATAGCTATATCTAGGTTTAAATTGGTAGTCATTTAAGCTAAAATATTTTCTAAAAGATCTATACTTTTTACTTCCTTCATACACATCTTGTGTTTTCAATGTCTTATTTTATATCTTCATGTTTATCACTCCATTGTTTATTCTAGTTATGGTTACAATGACAACTTTCTGTTTTTCGAGCTTTGTACTAGTTTAAGTGGTTGATCCTCAGATTTTACTATATATTTGTCTTTCTTGGTGGTATTTTTCCTTTCCTATGGATTTTTACTTCTTGTTATAACAATATCTTTTCCACTTAAAGAAGATCCTTTAACATTTCATTTAGGGTAGGTTTAGTATTGCTTAATTGTTTTAGTTTTTGCTCATCTGAGAATTTCTTTATCTCACCAATTCTAAATAATACTCTTGCTGGGTAAAGTAACCTAGTTTGCAGTGTTTTTTTTTTTTTTTTTTTTTCCTTTTCATCACTTTGAATATATCATGTGACTCCCTTCTGGCCTGAAAATTTTCTGCTGAAAAATCAGCACATAGTCTTATGGAGGTTCCCTTGTATATGACCTTGTTTTTCTTTTCCTGCCTTTATAATTTCTTTTTATCTGTAACTTTTGCCATTATTATGATTTATCTTTGGGTGAGTCTGTTTGGGTTCATCTTGTTTGGGTTCTCTGTGTTTCTGTATCTGGATATGTTTCATTCCTCAAGTTTGGGAAGTTTATAGCCATAATTTCATCCAGTACTTTTGACCCTCCTTTCTCTCTCTTTTCTTTCTGGGACCCCTATAATGTGAATGGTTGTATGCTGCACGTTATCCTAAAGATCTGTTAACTGCTCTCAATTTTTAAAGTTTGTTTTTATTCTTGCTTTACTGATTGGGTAAAATTTTCTACTATTCTATCTTATAGATCACATATGTGTTCTTCTGTGTCACTTAGTTTGCTATTAATTCATACATGACCACTGGAAAAACCATAGCCTTGACTAGACGGACCTTTGTTGCCAAAGTAATGTCTCTGTTTTTTAATATGCTATCTAGGTTGGTCATAACTTTCCTTCCAAGGAGTAAGCGTCTTTTAATTTCATGGCTGCAATCACTATCTGCAGTGATTTTGGAGCCCAAAAAATAGTCTGACACTGTTTCCACTGTTTCCCCACCTATTTGCCATGAAGTGATGGGCCCAGATGCCTTGATCTTAGTTTTATGAATGTTGAGCTTTAAGCCAACTTTTTCACTCTCCTCGTTCATTTTCATCAAGAGGCTTTTTAGTTCCTCTTCACTTTCTGCCATAAGGGTGGTGTCATCTGCATATCTGAGGTTATTGATATTTCTCCTGGCAATCTTGATTCCAGCTTGTGCTTCTTCCAACCCAGCGTTTCTCATGATGTACTCTGCATGTAAGTTAAATAAGCAGGGTGACAATATACAGCCTTGACGTGCTCCTTTTCCTATTTGGAACCAATCTGTTTTTCCATGTCCAGTTCTAACTGTTGCTTCCTGACTTGTGTCCATTTTGTTTAGTTCCTTTTCTTAGCATTTGTCTTTAGCTCTCATTTGGAACATATTGTTTTGTCTCCTCATTTTGCCTAACTCTGTTTCCATGTATAAGGTTTCTGTGTATCTATTTATCTTAGCCTTGAAGGAGTGGCCTTATGTAGAATGTTTCCTGTGTGGTCCAGAAAAGCAGTCTCTTCTGGTCACCAGAGCCAGGCTCTCCCAGTATATCACCTGTGTAGACTGCATGTACCTTCCTATTGTGCTAATCCCACAGTTGCTGCAGGTGCATTTGTGAGTGGGGCTGACAACCAAGCCAGCTGGATGTGAGACTAAACCATGACTATTGTGGATGGACTTGTGGGTGTTACTGCCTCTTGTTTGGAGGGCTTTCTGGCCTGGCCAACAACAGTGCAGGTGTGCTGGTTGGCTGGGCTGGCTCCCTGGGTGGGAACCACTTTGGATGTACACAATTCAAGCTGACTCTGCCCTCCAGGTGTTACAGAGTGAAAGCCACTCTTAGGGGTCACTAGTCTTGGCTGAGTTCACCCAGTAAGTGTGGCATGGTGGGAGTTGCTTTGGGAGTGTGCCATAACTCTTGAGGCTATTCGCTGGGTGCGGTAGCATGAGAGCCTCTTTGAACCCAAATGTGGCTGCCCACCAGGTTTGCTATTATGGTAGCCAATTTGAGAGAGGAGGCGCTGGACCTGACTGAGACTGCTCAGCAAGTGTAGTGAGGTGGGAGCTGCTTTGGAGAAGTATGGGTCCCTATTGAGGCTAACCACCAAATGTGCCAAGGTAGGGATGTTTTGTGCTTTTTAATGTGCTTGTTTCTCATTTCTATATTTGCATTTATAAGTTATCTGTTAAAATATTTTGCATATTTTTATTTAGGTTGTTTTTACTTTATTATTGAGGTTATTACTTCCTTACATAGTCCAGATATCATTCCTTTGTAAGTTTTATGTTTTGTATATATTTTCCCTAGTCTGTGGTTTGTCTTTTTAACTTTCTAATATCTTTTGATGATACCTCTTTATTTTCACTGTAATGACTCTTGTTAATTATTTATTTATTTGTCCTATTTTAGGTTTGTGGGGCCTCCTGAATCTGTTCATTGAATAGTCATCAGTTCTAGTAGATCTCTATTATTATGTCTTTATTGTCGCATTCTGTGTCTTTTCCACTTGTCATCCAATTAAGCATGAGCTAGACATTCTCATTGAGTTCTCCATTCTCTTACTTTCCCTTCTGTCTGACACTTTGGCTCAAATGGTAAAGAATCTGCCTGCAATGCAGGAGACCCAGGTTGGATCCTTGGGTCTAGAAGATCCCCTGGAGAAGGGAATGACAACCCACTCCAGTATTCTTGCCTGGAGAATCCCGTGGACAGAAGAGCCTGGCATGCTACAGTCAGTCCATGGTGTTGCAAAGAGTCAAACAGGACTGAATGACTAACAATTTTCTGTATCATTTCTTCTAATTTCTCTTCTGGATTACTAATTTTTTCTTAACTCCTTAATCAGTTGTTAAATCTGTTCATGGAGTTATTTTTTCCCTTTCCTTTTTATTTTGAAACAATCTCAATCTCACGTGAAACTTGAAATTACAGTACAAAGATGTTTTTTTCTAACCTATTTGAGATCAAGTTGCCAACAAGATGCTTTACCAGCTCTCAATACTTTAATGTGTTTTCATAAAAGCAAAGGGCATTCTTTTATACAAGTACCATTAAAATTAGGGAATCATCTTTAATACATTAATCCTCAGATCCAATTCAAATTTCTCCAGGTTCCTAATATCTTTCTTTAGAGCAAAATGACCCAGTGCAGTATCATGTGCTGAATTATTGGTTTCCTGAGATTTTTTTTTCTGTCTGGAATAGTTTCCCAGTCTCTCCTTGACTTTCATAAGCTTGCTGTATTTGAAGATTAATGAATGGTTATGGTGTAGAATGTTCCCTGATTTGGATTTTTCTATTTTCTTCATGATTAGGTATATATTATGCACCTTTGACAGTAATATCACAGAGATGATGCTGTATTCTGATTGAATCCTATCAGGTGTCACTCAATTTTACTTAACCAAAAATAGAGTTATCCTATGAGCCAACAATCCTACTCCTGGGCATGTATCCTGAAGAGATTAAAACTCTAATTCAAAAAGAGATGAATGGTTGTTGCTGAACCTTGAAAAGATGCCAGGATTCTTGGCCTCCGGAAGAGAAGAATTCAATCTGGGGCCAGAGACGAGGCTTGATGGCTCAGAGCTTTTGTGTAATAAATTTTTATTAAAGTATAAAGGAGATAGAGAAAGCTTCTGACATAGACATCGGAAGGGGACAGAAAGAGTACCCCCTTATTTAGGTTGTTTTTTACTTTATTATTGAGGTTATTACTTCCTTACATAGTCCAGATATCATTCGTTGCTTGTTAGCAATGGAGTTATATACTCTCCAATGAATCCAAAGAGTGTCTGGAGGTTGTAAAGACCTCACCAGACCTACTTTAATAATTTACATTTTAAGATAACAAGATTAGCCAGAAGGTTGAATCCAGAGACTGTCTTCAGGCAGGATACATTATTGTTATATAATCCTTGTAAAGACCAGACCTACTCCCATAATTTACATTTTAAGATAACTGGATTAGCCAGAAGGTTTACTCCAGAGACTATCCTCAGGCAGGATGCATTATTGTTATATAATCCTAAGGAATGTAGAGGAAAGAAAAAAAAAGTTTGTCCTTTCTTCCTCCTTGAGAATTCCAGACCCCTCTCTCCTTGGGGACCCCTAGACTTATCAACCTGCCTAGGAAATGACTCAGATACATATATCCCAATGTTCATTGCAGCATTGTTTACAGTAGCCAAGACACAGAAGTCACCTAAATGTCCATTGACAAGAAGAATGGATAAAGAAGATGTGGTACACATATACAATAGAATAGTACTCAGCCATAAATAATGAAATAATGCCATTTATAGAAACATGGATGGACCTAGAGATTGTCATACTGAATGAAGTAAGCCAGATAGAGAAAGACAAATATATGTTACCACTTATAGGTGGAATCTAAAAACTGATACCAAATGAACTTATTCATGAAACAGAAATAGACTCACAGACATACAAAACAAACTCATGGTTAACAAAGGGGATAATGGTAGTGGGGGAGAGATAAATCAGCAGTTTGGGGTTAACATATACAAACTACTATATATAAAGTAGGTAATCAGCAAGGACCTACTCAATACCTTGTCACAATTTATAATGGAAAAGAATCTGAAAAATCATATATATATATATGTATATATATACATGTAAACGTATGACCGAATTACTTTGTTGTACACTTGAAACTAAGATAACATAGTAAATTAACTATAATTTAAAAATGATACCAGGACTTCCCTGGTGGTCCAGTGGCTAAGACTCTGCACTCTCAATGCAGGGGCCTAGGTTCAATGCCTGGTCAGGGAACTAGAATCCACATGCTGTAATTAAAGATCCTGCATTCATCTATGAAGGCCCAGTGTAGCCAAATAAATAAACAGATAAAAATAAATATAAAAAACTACAAAAAACTTACAAAACTCTCCTAGTATCTCTAATAACTAGTTGTACGTTCTTCAAGATTTGTCTTATAGAGACAAATCATATGAAAATAATGACAGTTTTATGTATTCTTCTGTGCTGTGGTTGTGCTTAGTTGCTCAGTCATGTCTGACTCTTTGCGACCCCATGGACTGTAGCCTGCCAGGCTCCTCTGTCCATGGGGATTCTCCAGGCAAGAATACTAGAGTGGGTTGCCATGCCCTCCTCCTTGGGAAAATTCCCAACTCAGGGATCGAACCCAGGTCTCCCCCATTGCAGGAAGATTCTTTACTGCCTGAGCCACCAGGGAAGCCCTTAGCAAATCATTAACTTTTCTTGTTTTTTGCTGATTTAAACTATGAATAGGAAATGGTGACTGTGGGTCTGTCTCACTGCCTTTTTCTAATTTTAGAGATAATGCTTCCAACATTTCCTCTTTTAAGACACTGTTGTATGATTTTTGTTGTTTCCCTTTTTTCAGATTAAGGAAGTTCCCTTCCAGTCACAGTTTGCTAAAAGTTTTCAATTGAAAAAAAGTTGACTTTTTGTCAAATACTCTTGTATTTATAGTGATAATCTTATGGCTTTTTTCATTTATTCTAATAAGTAGTAAATGTCATGGAGAGATTTCCTACTATGAAATTACCTGCATTGATGGAATAAACCCTGCTTGACAATGGCATATTGGACTTTAGGACACTGTAAGATTTAGTTTTCTACAACTTTGTTTAGACTTGATGTATCTATATTCATAAGTTAAATGGGCTTTTCCTTTTCCTTTCTTGTACTGTTCCTTTGTGCTGTTGATATCAAAACTAGTCTCATAAAATGAGTAACTGGAAGATTTTGCACAAAATTGGAATATTTTCCTGAAGTATTTGGAAGAACTCTTCTATAAAATTATCTGGTTTTGGAAGCACAGAGAAGATGGTGGAGGAGTAAGACAGGGAGATTGCCAGCCTCCCCCAAATACATCAAAAACTCATCAAGATATGGAACAACTTTTAAAATCAACCTCTAGGCGACAGCAGAAGACCGCAGGCCTCCGGGGGGACGGGCTAAGCTCCCTGAAATGAGGTAGGAGAGATGAGGGAGACATAAAAAGGGAAAAGATGGAGAACTTTTGGGCAGTAGCTTGTGCCTCAAGAGAGGGAAGGAACCTTGAAACAGGAGTTCCCACACACAGGGAAACTCCCTAACAGGTAGGCCCAAAGGGGAGCTGGGAAGTCTTTCAAAACCAGGCAAAGCAGGGACTTGAAGGGCAGTAAACAGAGAAAGCTGTACTTCTCAGCCCGTTAACAGCTCATGGACTGTGGCCCCAAACAGACAGTGGGTTCGGGCTCCCGGAACCGAGTGATGTGGCATACAAACCCAGCCAGCTCACACAGTCCTTGCAGCACAGAGGGCAGGCCCAGGTAGCCTAGTGTGATGGGGCAGATAACCCTAGCCAGCGCGCACAACCCTTGCAGCACAGAGGGTGGGCCCAGGTAGCCGGCAGACAAACACAGCCAACACAAAGAGTGGGACTGGGGTGCCGATAAGAGGGGAGACATACAAACTTGGGCAGCACACACAACCCTCCCTGCACAGCCGAAAGAAGAACAAATAACCCCCGCGACAAAGAGTGCAGGCAGTGAGACGAAACAAATGCACATAAACCCCGTGATGCAGAGGGCCAGCATGGGGAGCCGAAACAAGTCCACACTAGCCCAGCGATGCAGAGGGTGGACCTCAGGAACTGAGAGTCAAATGCACATAGCCCTGCGATGCAGACGGTGAGCTTAGGGGGCCGAGGGAAGCCCACACAAGTTGCCATGATACCGAAGGATCCACACAAGCCCCTACCTAGCAAGTTTCAGCCAGCAGCACAGGACAGGACAGGGAAACAGAACCAATGGCAATGATCCCAGGAACAAGTAGGGAACTGGTGGCACTGCAGTTATCCTGAGAGAGCCACTTTGAAGCAGCTGCAGAAATAGACTTGCCTAATAACATGAAAACTAGAATGACTGCCCAAAGGCATACTGAACCCACAGACACTCCAAAACCTACTACTGGACACTGCACTGCCCTTCCGAGAGATGAGATCCAGCTCCATCAACCAGAATACAGGCACAAGCTCCACCAACCAGGAAAACAACACAAGACACTAACCCAACCCCATCCACAGAGGCAGACTCCACAACCAAGAATTATGACCTTGAAAACCGTTTAAAATTTTTTCCCTTTTTTTCTTTTTTTCTCTTATAAATCATACTGTTTATTCCCCCAACATATCTCCACCTTCACACTAGCATTTAGCTGTGCTGTGGAGTTTTCCTCTTTGTTTCTCTTATATATAAAAAAATTCACTTTAAGATTCTTTCTTCTTATAACTCACACTGCTTATTCCCCAACATATTTCCACCATCACATTAGATTTTTGTGGTGCTGTGGAGTTTTCCTCGTTAAAAAAAAAAAAAATTCATTTAAAGATTTTTTTCTCTTTTTTTCTGATAAATCACACGGTTTATCCCCCCTACATGTTTCCACCTCCATATTAGCCTTTGCAGTGCTGTGGAGTTTTCCTCTTTGTGTTTATTGTCAAAAAAAAAAAAAAAAAGGCAAGAAAAAAATTCATATTAGGTTTTTCTTCTTATTTTTTTCTCCTCATTTTCTTTTTCTTTTTCCTTGAGTTTTTTTTATTTTGTTTTGGATATATTCAACTACTTTCCCTACTGTTCTTACCAGCTGTAGCTATTTCTGAATATATAGAAACCCTTTGCACACACATCTATTCATCTTTGCTTTTGTATTTTTCTTTTTCTCTCTCTATTTTTAATTTTTTAATCCTCTTCTCCACCCCTTCCTTTTCTCTTTTCCCTCCCTTCTCCTCTTTCCTTTCTCTCTCTCTTTTTTTATTCTCCTCTTTTCCCTTTATTCTTTCTTCTTTCACCAAGTAAGTTAATTATTGAGCTCTTTATGTTATATTACCCAGTTGGCCTTCTGCTAATGCTCAGATATCCAGATTGAGCATTAGCTAACTCTGCTTTCAAATGGTTGATATCACCTCTGGTTTCCCTTGCTCATCAAGTCAGTATCCTCTACTGTTTTCTTTAGAATGCTTTGGTTATAACTGTATGTGTGGAAGTGTGTGTGTATATGTCCCAGTATTTCTGTAATTACCTACTTGATCTCCTCCCACTAGAACACAGAACAAGTCACCCCCAACAAGAAATCAGCACAAACAACCCAACCAACATTTCCCTCCAAGGGCAAAAATCAAAAGGAATAAGTAATACAACCCTAAAACCTGGGAAAAGGAGACTTCAGGTGAGGCAGGTTAGAAACAAAAGATGATGAAAAGACAGAGAAATACAACACAAATGAAAGAGCGAGGTATAAACTCACAAGACCAAATAAATGAAGAGGAAATAAGTAATCTCCTTGAAAGAGAATTCAGAATAATGATAGTAAAGATGCTCTGAAGACTTGAAAATAGAATGGAGAAAATGCAAGAAGCATTTAACACAGTTAATACAATCTAAAAGGACATAGAAGAAATAAAGAATAAGCAAACAGAGATGAATAACACAATTACTGAAGTTAAAAATACTCTAGAAGGAACCAATAGCAGAACAACTGAAGCAAAGGATCAGAAAAATGAGCTGGAGGATAGAATGGTAGAAATAACTGTTGAAGAGCAAAATAAAGGGAAAGGAATGAAAAGAAATTAGGAAAGCCTCAGAGACCTTTGGGACAATCTTAAATGAACCAATATTCGAGTCATAGGGGTCCCAGAGGAAGAAGAGAAAAAGAAAGGCAGTGAGAAAATTTTTGAAGAAATTATAGTTGAAAATTTCCCCAACCTGGGAAAGGAAACAGTCAATCAAGTTCAAGAAGCACAGAGAGTCCCCTACAGGTTAAACCCAAGGAGAAATTCATTGAAACACATATTAATCAAGCTAACAGAGATTAAATATAAAGAAAGAATATTAAAAGCAACAAAGGACATACAAGGGAAAACCCACACAATCAACAGTGGATCTTTCAGCAGAAACTCTGCAGGCCAGAGAATGGTAGGATATATTTAAAGTACTGAAAGGGAAAAACTGACATCCATGATTACTATACCAGGCAAAGATTTCATTCAAAATTGACAAAGAAATCAAAAGCTTCATGGACAAGAAGAAATTAAGAGAATTCAGCACCAACAAATCAGCCTTGCAACAAATGCTAAAGGGACTTACATAGCCAGTAAACACAAGAGAAAGGAAAGACCTACAAAAACAAATCCAAAACAATCAAGAAAATGCCAATAGGAACATATGTATCAATAATTACCTTAAATGTAAATAGATTAAATGAACCAACCAAAAGATACAGACTGACTGAATGGATACAAAAAGAAGACCCATATATATGCTGCCTACAGGAGACCCACTTTAGACCTAGAGACACATACAGACTGAAAGTGAAAGAATGGAAAAAGACACTCCATGTGAATGGAAACCAAAAGAAAGCTGGAGTGGGAATCCTTATTTCAGACAAAGCAGACTTTAAAATAAAGAATGTCATAAGAGATGAAGAAGGACTTTACATAATGATCAAGGGATTAATCCAAGAAAAAGATATAACAATTGTAAATGTCTATACATCCAACATAGGAGCACCTCAATACATAAGGCAAACACTAACAGGCATAAGAGGAAAAATTGACTGCAACACTATAATAGTAGGGGACTTTAACATTCCACTGTCATCAATAGATGGATCATCAAAACAGAGAATCAATTAAACACAAACCTTAAATGAAACATTAGACCAAAGGGACCTAATGATATCTTCAGGACTTTCCATCCAAATGCAGAAGAATAAACTCTCTTCTCAAGCGCACATGGAACATC